GAAGCTACGGACGCCTCACAGAGTTATCGTAGGGATTATCTAACGTGCAGAGAGTGTAGAACACATCCTACAGAAGTAAACGGATGTAACGTCTTCATTCCGACCGGGCGTGAATCCATCATCAAGTGGAACGTTAAACATAGGAAAACACAACTTTGTCCTAAAAATGTCCCGAGTAACAGTTTTAAGATTTCCAACGTTGTTTTCAAATATTTTTACGCAAACGGTAAAATAAACTGTCTTTGTCTTTACAAGGCACACCTATGGTCAAAATGAATTGCAAAATATGTTCTATGGAATAAAATTCTCAACAGCTTACGTGCATCAAACATTGATACTTCCATTAGGTTTGCATTGGTTCTTTGTTAAGATCGCTTTTATCAAAGTTTCTACAATTTGAAAAAAGAAGATAATCTATTTTCAATTTTAATATAAAGTATACATGAGTTAAAAAAGAAAGAGAAAATACTAATTTTGAACAAAAAATTTAAATTCTTCAATAAAATTAATAAAAGTATTAACACATATCTGTATTAAGCTGAAATGTCTCCGACTGACCCTATATCTGTCTCCGAAAAACCTTCTGACGTCTAGCAACAATCCCCTTTTTACTGAATTTTTATAAGTAAATGCATTACATTTCAATCTTAATCAGTAATTTTAACATGAAAGTATAGTGTAAGCGTAATTGCAAAAAGGATAAGCCCATTCGTTCAATTATTTTTTAATTGTGATGCAAGATTTTGCGGGAACTTGTGTGATTTTAAGTAATGGCAGACAAATGTGCATATCCGTGTAAATGCGTCTATTCATTTGTTTCCATTCAAATGGCTTGTCGTGGCTGGTAAACATGATTGTATTATAAAAGAATAAGACAGCATATTAATATACACTTACATTATTATATTTGTTGTTAGACAGCAATTACCTGCAATAATGGTTTCTGGGTTTGGTTACATTCAATCAGACAAATAAAAATTAAAACACCGAATGACGTCAATCTTGTTTTGATTATTAGACACACTTTTCGGATTATAAACAAAGATCAACGATTTCACAATTTCATGCCAAATATCACGGCTGATTTTCCTAGTTACGACAATATGTCCAACATTTTGATACAGATATTACATAGAAACTAGCATAAACCCTTTACTAGACTCAAGCTGGCAGCAACTTAGGAGCCAATCAAGGCAACAGCCAAATTTCATGATATGTCTAAAACAAAAACAAAAACTGTATAAGACTCATAAGTTCCAAAAATCTCAAAATCTTAGCTACTATAAAAGCACCTTTGACAGCGGAATGACAAGTACTAGTACTATATATGTCATGGTCAAAATCTGTAGGATGAGTTTGTTAAGATATGCCAACGAGTAAAACACGTGGTATATATGATTTATGATAGAAATAATATGATTGACAGCTTGAACTACTATTTAGACACTGATCACGTTACTGTTTTATCAAATGAGATGGAAGCTCACGCAAGTCAGTATTGCAATTGACTGGCACACATGAAGATTTGAAACCGGCATATTAATGAGTAAGTTTTGCTTTATTGTATAATTTGCGTATTATTTTTTTTTTTAACCACACTCTTTCGTACTCCTCGGAAATTTCCTACGGCAAAGTTCTGGAACAGACCTTTCAATGGTATTGACCGAGGCCATTGCCCACTTAAATATCGTCTTGGGATCCGGGCCCTTCTGGACACCTCAAGGGTTCAAAGTTCCAACTTAACGATTTTTTTTAATATCAACAAAACACTCTTTAGATTTTCCTCGGAAATGACCTACGACAAAGTTCTGGACCAGACCTATAAAAATAAGAAGATGTGGTATGATAACTCCCCACCAGAGACCAAATGACATAGAAGTTAACAGCTATAGGTCACCGTACGCCATTCAACAATGAGAAAATCCCCTACCGCATAATAGCTAGGCTATAAAAGGACCCGTTATGTTAAATGTAAAACAATTCAAACGAGAAAACAAACGGCTTTTTTTATGTACAAAAACAATAAACGGAAAAATACGATATACAGCGAAAAAACAATCACTGAATTACAGGATCCTGACTTCAGACAAGCACATACAGAATGTGGCGGGGTTTAACATTTTTGCTGGCGCCAAACCCTCCCCCTAACCTTGGACAGTGGTGTAACAATACGACATACCTGTAACCTGTTTCCTGTCTGGTAGGTTCACCCTTTCTAAGGGTCACTCCCAATGGGATTAATTTAGGTTAAATACCAAAACTATGTAAAATTAAAATTGAGGATGGAAATGGGGAATGTGTCAAAGAGACAACAACCCGACCATAGAGCAGACAACAGCCGAAGGCCACCATTATGTACATTATAAACAGTTGTATTTTAAGTCTTTAAATATAAAGACATAAGAACCAACTATAAAAATCAGTTAAAAAGGGCTAAACTCATTAGATCGATATAAAGCACATTCAAGGCCTAATTAAAACACGAAAGACACAAAGTACAGATTTGAGAGTACTCGCAGTCCTGAAAGCTAGTTCAAAGCCAATAGCTACTAATAAAAATCATGTGTCTAAGACTAAATTATCAATCAGTACACATCCAACATCCAATGGATTTAGTGAAAAGACGTAATTAACAGTCAGAGAAAAACATGACCTTGTACAATGTCAAAATATACGTATCAACAGGTTGTTATGAACAAAAAGCGCTACCATGCTTTAAACATAAAAGTTTTTTTTTATTTTTTCCTCTGTGAATGACCATGAAAGTACTTTTTGTATATAAATATAAAAACTATTTATTCTTTAATCAAGTTTTTTCATATGTTTTGTAGACAATGCGGTAGTGGTCAATTACACCCCAAAAATTACGTTTTTATGAAAATACCACACGCTTCAATCAATAAAAGTAAATCAGTAACAGACATTTTATTTTCTGATGATATTTCTAGAAAAATAGAGTTGATAAAAATAAGATGTGGTATGATTTCCAATGAGACAGTTGTCATGTTGTAAAAATGCGTGAAATTGGGAATTTTAGCATTTTCATCTTTTTATGTCGTGTTTGGTATCAAAAGTCATTATTTCTTATGAGTAATTAAGTTTCAATTTTTTTATTACGGAAGAAGTGCATTTTGTTAGGCCGGAAACAAGATTTTGAACTATTTTTCAAATAATTTCATAAAAGACATTTATAAGCCGTTTTAGCGTTACTTGGAAATATTTATGGATTTAGATTAAGATCAAGCTAATAGCCCTTCCTAAATCTCTTCGACTTGAAGCGCTCCAATCATATCATGATTCATTGGCAGCAGGAGGACATTTTGGTATTGACAAAGTCAGCAACTCTCTAATACAAAAATATTGGTGGAAAAGTATGCATCAAGATATCACAGACTATGTTAAATCCTGTGATCGGTGTCAGAGAGCCAAGCAAAACTGCAACCCAAACAGACCCCGTCTTACCAAGATGCCCCAAGTTGGTTGTTTCGATAGATGGCATATAGATGCTCTTGGCCCTCTTACTAAAAACTCTCAAGGTTACGAGTACATTTTATTGGTCATAGATGCTTTCAGCAGATGGTGTGAAGCATTTGCCATGAAAACCCAAACTGCAAAGGAAATAGCTGATAATCTATACACAGGAGTTGTCTCTAGATTTTGTTGCCCAAGAGTTTTGCTAAGCGACAGAGGTCAGCCCTTCATGTCAAAGATTGTCAAAGTCATGTGTGAAATCCTCCAAATCACTCAGCATCATACTACATCTGACCATCCTAACACGAATGGCACTGTCGAGAGATAAAATCACACACTTGCTCAGTCACTTCGAACTTACTGCAATGATACCCATGACAAGTGGCCTTCTCTCATCCCAGGTATCATGATGGCTTTTCGAAGATCGGTTTGTGCATCCACAGGTTTTTCTCCATTTTACATGTTGTTTGGCCAAGAGATGAAAATCCCATTTGATATTGCATTAGAGCCAAAAGACTCCTTGCCACAGGACACACGAGTGTACATTGACCAGTTCCTGTCAAATATTAAGATGTCACACAAGATTGCACTTCAGAATGAAGCAGTTCAAAAAGAAAAAGACAAAGTGAGGCATGACCAAACAGCTAGAGTATGCACATTTGATTTAGGAGATCTTGTTTTACTAAAGGTACACAAATTTCCCAAAGGTCAGTCACGAAAGCTTTGTGACAAAGCTTCTGGTCCATATCGAATAGAAGAAATTGGCCCAAACTACAAATATGGTATATGGAGAATCTCAGACCACAAAAAGCAAGCTTCTTTAGTCAATGCTACCAATCTGCAACCATATATACGACCTGATCCTACTCGGCAGAGACTCGCTCAAGAAGTTCAAAATATTCCCCCAGATCCAGACTCAGACTCTGACTCAGACCCAGAAGTTGAACAAGATGATGAAGTAAACCCAAATGTATAAGTTGAAGCGACCCAACAACCCATCCCAATCCCTCAGCAACTTCCTGACCCTGCTACAAGGTACCAAATTCAAAAAGTTTTACGAGGACGCCGAAAACACGGACGCAGAGAGATGTATATTAAATGGCTTGATGGTTCATGTACTTGGGAACCAGATACATGCTTTGACGAAGAAATGTCTGATTCCATTAACAGTAGATGGACAAAACAAGGAAAACGCAGGAAATCCTACTTTAATTGATACCGGTAAACTCGTTTTCTATCTATTAGTTTTTTTTTGTTTTCACTCTGACCCTCTTATTTTATTCCTCATTCTGGTCATGTTTCAAGTCATTGTTTTTCTACATTTCATGCAAAGAAGTCTCTACTTGAATTCAGTATTCAAACGTGACCATGACAAGTCAAGAAAATACATGTGAAGAAAGATGCATCAGTATAACCACCTTGTTCATACATGTAGATGATACCTCAGTATCACCACCTTGTTCGTAGAAGGATACATCAGTATCACCACCTTGTTCATAAAAGGATACATCAGTATCACCACCTTGTTCTTAGAAAGATACATCAGTATCACCACCTTGTTTATTATAGGATACTTCAGTATCACCACCTTGTTTATAGAAGGATACATCAGTATCAACACCCCGTTCATAGAAGGATACATCAGTATCACCACCTTGTTCATAGAAGGATACATCAGTATCAACACCCCGTTCATAGAAGGATACATCAGTATCACCACCTTGTTCATAGAAGGAGACATCAGTATCACCCCCTTGTTCATAGAAGGATACATCAGTATCACCACCTTGTTCATAGATGATACCTCAGTATCACCACCTTGTTCATAGAAGGATACATCAGTATCAACACCCTGTTCATAGAAGGATACATCAGTATCACCACCTTGTTCATAGAAGGATACATCAGAATCACCACCTTGTTCATAGAAGGATACATCAGTATCACCACCTTGTTCATAGAAGGATACATCAGTATCACCACCTTGTTCATAGAAGGATACATCAGTATCACCACCTTGTTCTTAGAAAGATACATCAGTATCACCACCTTGTTTATTATAGGATACTTCAGTATCACCACCTTGTTTATAGAAGGATACATCAGTATCAACACCCCGTTCATAGAAGGATACATCAGTATCACCACCTTGTTCATAGAAGGATACATCAGTATCACCACCTTGTTTATAGAAGGATACATCAGTATCACCACCTTGTTCATAGAAGGATACATCAGTATCACCACCTTGTTTATAGAAGGATACATCAGTATCAACATCCCGTTCATAGAAGGATACATCAGTATCACCACCTTGTTCATAGAAGGATACATCAGTATCAACACCCCGTTCATAGAAGGATACATCAGTATCACCACCTTGTTCATAGAAGGATACATCAGTATCACCACCTTGTTCATGGAAGGATACATCAGTATCACCACCTTGTTCATAGAAGGATACATCAGTATCACCACCTTGTTCTTAGATGATACCTCAGTATCACCACCTTGTTTATTATAGGATACTTCAGTATCACCACCTTGTTTATAGAAGGATACATCAGTATCAACACTCCGTTCATAGAAGGATACATCAGTATCACCACCTTGTTCATAGAAGAATACATCAGTATCAACACCCCGTTCATAGAAGGATACATCAGTATCACCACCTTGTTCATAGAAGGATACATCAGTATCAACACCCCGTTCATAGAAGGATACATCAGTATCACCACCTTGTTCATAGAAGGATACATCAGTATCACCCCCTTGTTCATAGAAGGATACATCAGTATCACCACCTTGTTCATAGATGATACCTCAGTATCACCACCTTGTTCATAGAAAGATACATCAGTATCACCACCTTGTTCTTAGAAAGATACATCAGTATCACAACCTTGTTTATTATAGGATACTTCAGTATCACCACCTTGTTTATAGAAGGATACATCAGTATCAACACCCCGTTCATAGAAGGATACATCAGTATCACCACCTTATTCATAGAAGGATACATCAGTATCAACACCCCGTTCATAGAAGGATACATCAGTATCACCACCTTGTTCATAGAAGGATACATCAGTATCACCACCTTGTTCTTAGAAAGATACATCAGTATCACCACCTTGTTTATTTTAGGATACTTCAGTATCACCACCTTGTTTATAGAAGGATACATCAGTATCAACACCCCGTTCATAGAAGGATACATCAGTATTACCACCTTGTTCATAGAAGGATACATCAGTACCAACACCCCGTTCATAGAAGGATACATCATTATCACCACCTTGTTCATAGAAGGATACATCAGTATCACCCCCTTGTTCATAGAAGGATACATCAGTATCACCACCTTGTTCATAGATGATACCTCAGTATCACCACCTTGTTCCTAGAAGGATACATCAGTATCAACACCCCGTTTATAGAAGGATACATCAGTATCACCACCTTGTTCATAGAAGAATACATCAGTATCACCACCTTGTTTATAGAAAGATACATCAGTATCACCACCTTGTTCATAGAAGGATACATCAGTATCACCACCTTGTTCTTAGAAGGATACATCAGTATCACCACCTTGTTCTTAGAAGGATACATCAGTATCACCACCTTGTTCATAGAAGGATACATCAGTATCACCACCTTGTTCTTAGAAGGATACATCAGTATCACCACCTTGTTCATAGAAGGATACATCAGTATCACCACCTTGTTCATAGAAGGATACATCAGTATCACCACCTTGTTCTTAGAAAGATACATCAGTATCACCACCTTGTTTATTATAGGATACTTCAGTATCACCCCCTTGTTTACTTTAGGATACTTCAGTATCACCCCCTTGTTGATTATAGGATAATTCAGTATCACCCCACCCATTTTGAAAGTGTATGAAAATGAATTTTCACCTTAGTTTTAATAGTATATTATTTTATGTCTTATGAGGTTCACCATTTTCTACTTTTGACTCATATACCTTTTGGTTATAATAGGTTGAAGAAATGCTAGCTTGAGATTATTGTTCTAGATATATATGTCTTAGTTTATTATCTATTCTGATAAGTTGCTTTACTTGTACTCAGATCTCGAAATTTGGATTTGCTTTTGATGTTATTTTACAGTTATTTCTGTACTCCTTAGTGCTACATTGTATGTTGAGACGTCAACTTTCAGTCACCTTAAAATTGGCATATCTAACTTTCTGCATTTGATATTGTTGTAGGCCATTCTTTGACTATTTGGAACAGTCTCCTTCTAACCCATATAGTCCTTATAAGTATGTTTTCTGTTGGTGCGGCAACCTCATCCCCTCAAGATGTCTTCCCAATATTAGATTTATCCTTATTCCCATCTTACTACGAATTTTCAAGACCATCGGCCTTAGATTTGACTGTTGCCTCATTCCCCTCATGTAAAATGTTTGCAGTGTGGTCATCATTTGCTAACCCAAAAGTTTGTCAAAATTCCGACCACACTTACCCTAAGTTTTCTCCAATCTTAAAGAATTAAGAAAGTTTTGGCACAACCATTTAATGCCTATATTTATGTGACACATCATGGTTTCGCTTCTATGTTGAGTCAGCAAGCAAATGCTTCTAAGCCAAAATTTCAAGCATTAGCAGCTGATTCAGATTCACTATACCCTAGTCTTTTAGCATGAATTCTCAATTCATTTCCTAAGTTAGTGAACTGCTAATTTTCAAAAAGGTTTATTATTGTACCTTGTTTGTCATAATTCAATAATTCTTAATATGTATATGTATATAGGTGTAAATATGACCCCTTGATTTTTCGTTATTTGACATGACTAGAATTTCTCCAACATTGGAGATAAATAACATTGTTTTACAATCCAAATGATTTAGACCCGTTTCAGATGGCAAAGGTTCCATACTGGATGTCGTGTTTGGTATCAAAAGTAATTATTTCTTATGAGTAATTAAGTTTCAATATTTTTATTACGGAAGAAGTGCATTTTGTTAGGCCGGAAACAAGATTTTGAACTATTTTTCAAATAATTTCATAAAAGACATTTATAAGCCGTTTTAGCGTTACTTAGAAAGATTTAGATTATGTCGTGAGAATACTTTTTGACAACAATGGTCATCAATGTAATTTATTTGTCAACACCCAAGCTGTATATAGAGTGAATAATGTCTATTAACACTAAGTCTTGATTTAATCTGCTTTTGATATATTTCATTGTTTGGAAACTATTTGTTTATAAGTACCCTTTTCTATTTTCATTGGTTTAAACGTTTCTATGATCATGTTTTAAAAAGGTTAATTTTGAAACGAAAAAAAAGGAGGTAGGGAAAAGAGAGAGAACTATGTGACACACCGGTCCGCCCCGCTCTCGATCTACGATCTACGAGCATCGGCGGGTTAATGTATGATTACTGTTTTGTAAATATGCTTTATGAACTGACTGTATATATGTTGGATGGAAAAATAAAGTATTTGAACGTTCATGTATCCTGTCTCGTGTATTGATTTACAACAACTTTCCCGTATGGAACCTTTGCCATCTGAAACGGGCCTAAATCATTTGGATTGTAAAACAATGTTATTTATCTCCAATGTTGGAGAAATTCTAGTCATGTCACAACTATCCATCAGAGACCAAACGACGTAGATTTAAGCAGTCATAAGTCAACGTATGTAGCCTTCAACGATGAGCGAAACCTATCACGCATTCCCTTAACGATCAAACTTACGCGTTGTCTGATCTTTCACGATCAATTTTGACTAAAATTTTGATCGCAATGCCATTTAAATTATTTCACGATCATTTAAATCGATATACCGAATGACAGCCGTGTGATGTAAAATGGTGTTAGAATGGATCTTATGTTTATCAAAATAGAACTTTTTTACGATTCCCCCAAATTTTTTTAATTAGGTTTTTATTTTAATGATTTATATTTGGACATCGGTTAACTACTGTTAACTGCCTTTAATTCAATAAGCATTTCATATAATTATTTTAATTAATTTGACAATGTTTCTTAAAACAAATTTAAATTTGAGCTTACCTTTCTAAATTAAAAGAAGAATGCCATCTTCTAGTAAGCGTGTTGTGTCTATAAACTATTTGGTAGGCTGATAGAATTTGAGATGTGAAATTTATTAATCGCCTATCGTTTATCATGTATATCCATGTATCTATAACTATAATATAAAAACTGAAGAAAAAAATAAAAAAGGGAGACGCAAGCATCGTATGCAGGTGCTTCGGATTTGTCATGCATGGTCTAAAAAGTACTTTTAAATACTAAGATATTTCCTGTTTTTGTAGATTTCATGGCATTTTAAAACATAGGTATGGAATGAATATTCAAATCACGAAAAAATAAACAACGCTATCAAAAGTTCTGTTCTTTCTTGCTGCTGGCTAAAGTACATTTAAACGATAAAAAAGTAAAAATTAAAATGTGACCGACAATTGGAATTGTCTTATCTATACCCTACATCCGGTATTTGGAATAATTATTGGCAATTATTCGGTTCAATTTGTCAATAACTCAACACAATATTGAAAACTGTCCTCATTAAACGCTTTGATGTTCATTAGATTCTAGTAATCCGTTGCATTCTGATAGATGCGGTTGAATTTTCTATAATCGATTGTCAATCTTGATATTTAGTTACAACACGTAATTCTTGATTGCTTAGGCGACAATTTGCTTAATACTAAGGTTATGGGTTTTATTCACAATCATGTAACCAGGAAAAAGGATTAATGGGAAATAAAATGGAATTTTGTTAAACATAGAAAACTGCATTTTCAAGATTCAATTTCAATTCTTACAACGATTTTTTTATTTTGCAAGAAAACAGAGCAAAATTCACATTGCAAAAAACAAGACGGCCATAAAGAGGACTATGCTACCGTTTGGACTCTATCTGTTCATAACCGTTATATCAAGTAGATCTACACAAGTGTCCAGTGTCCAAACATTTAAGTTAGGGGTGCCTCTAATATCCTCTGCTGGAACACCATATGACATCGAGCGTATTGGCCCAGCAATTGACATTGCCATCGAGAGAGTGAACAGAGATATCCTGAATGGAAGTTACCAGTTAGTTACCATTGAGAAGCCATACGGGAAATTCTGTAGTGGATCTACAGCACCAGGTATCAATTATTATATCAAAATTAGCTTTTACATACTCATTTATTTATTCTATAGAAAATTAAGTCTTACCACAATTATGTTTTAGAAATAATCGTGTAATCTGTTACTATATATAATTCTCGTACTGTTGGGAACTATATATAAATCTTGTACTGATGGGAAATCGTAGTATTTGTGTCATTTGTATGAATAAATTTAGAAATAATGGTTAACATTTGATCTATAAAATATGTATAAACCCCGTACTGATAGGAAATCGTCGTATTTGTGTCATCTTTATTAATACCGGGTAATAGGAGAAATTGGAGTACAAGTAAAAACCCATAAATACCAAGAATTCATTAATTTCTTGAACATTTATAACATTTTTCATCTAAAAATGATATCCTTTTAAATACTAGTAAAATTGAATGTTTTTTTCCCTCGCGTTTCTCGATAGAAATGTGTTCATCACTTGATTTCATATCGTATAAATTAAAAAAAAAAACCAACAACACAACACCATTCAATAATTATATTTACTGATCATATCTTCGAAAGATTAATATGTGATGTTAACATTTTGAATCTGAAAGTAAAATTTAAAGACAGACTTCGGTAGCAATTGTCTAGTGTATCATTCCACGTGAAATTAATTATCAGCCATTCAGCTGACTGTCGATTTTAAAGTAGAATGCTCGTAAAATATTTATCAAATTTCAATAATAATTATATAACATTTCATTAGATGGCAATTTAATGTTACATTTTTTTTTATCAATTATTGATATTTACAATATTTATGATATCAATAACATTTTCCAATCGAATTTGGAATTTATAAAAAAACAACATAACCGTCTGCAATGAACAATGTGTGAAACAAAAATAAACTGTTTATGCGGTCGGAGCAATCAATTCTATTGTCTCGGGTTGTTTTCATAAAAAATTGAAACATCTGGTGGAGTCAAATGATTTGTCTTTCAGCCAATATAAGATCAGCATGTGTAAAAATTTAACACCTTCTGTTAATATATTGAAATACTAGTGCCTGTAACAAATGCGCTTACTTTATTGACATTACAACGTTGTTATGAATAATGTTACAGGCACTAGTATTTCAGTATATTTTTTAAAATGTCCAAAAATTGAAGCGCAAATGTACATTTAAAAAATAGCAAATGTCCTATTAAAAAGCGCAAAAGTCCCGAATATTAATTTTGAGGATTTACTCAACTTTTTCAAAGAGCTAAACTCAGGTAACTCAGATTCAATTGACTTGCCAACTAATGATACAAATTTGATGAGTGAACTGAATGATAATTTGAATAGTCCAATTACGAAAGAAGAAATATTAAAATGTATTAAGAATTTAAAAAATAACAAAGCTTGTGGTGATGATATGATTATTAACGAATATATTAAGACGTCTGGCGATTTTTTTATTGATGTTTATGCTGCATTGTTTAACTTGATTTTTAGAACTGGAATAGTACCAGTATCTTGGGTGATTGGAACGATCAAGCCATTTTATAAAAACAATGGCAATAAGTTTGATCCTAAAAACTATAGACCCATTACTATTGTAAGTTGTATGGGTAAATTATTTACAGCTATTTTAAGTAATAGA